TAGCATCATTGCCTGTAATCACAATATCATCTACATAAATGAGCAAAGCTGTGAAAGAAATACCAGACCTTTTAGTGAACAATGAATAGTCATATTTGGATTGTTGAAAACCGGCAGAAATGATGGCACTAGTGAATTTGGCAAACCATTGGCGAGAAGCCTGCTTAAGACCATAAAGTGACTTGTGAAGGCGACACACAAGATTCTCCCCCTGTCGCCGAAGACCAGGAGGAGGAGACATATAGATTTCTTCATGTAAGTCACCATGTAAGAAAGCATTATTAACATCAAGCTGATGAAGAGACTAAGACTGACTAGCAGCAAGAGCAAGAAGACAACGCACCGTAATCATCTTAGCAGTAGGAGAAAAAGTGTCATGATAATCAATACCTTCAGCCTGAGTGAAGCCTTTAGCAACCAAACGAGCTTTGTAGCGGTCAATAGAGCCATCGGAATTGTGCTTGAGTTTGTACACCCACTTACAACCAATGAGAATTTTGCCAGGGGGCAAGGAAGTTAAAGTCCAAGTATCATTAGCATGTAAAGCTTGAAGCTCCTCAGTCATAGCACGTTGCCAATTGGAGTCAGTGGCAGCCTCGGCAAAGGAGGAAGGCTCCACAGTCCGACTGACAGAGTTAATGTAAGAAAAATGCCTGGGAGAGTAACGGTGATAAGAGAGAAAATTACAAAGTAGATATCGCGTACCTTGTGTAGAACCAGGTTGCGAAGTCGAAGATGGGTGGGATGGCAGAATCACCTGCAAGCAAACGTAGTCTTTTAAATAGGATGGAAGTTTATGGGCACGGGAAGATGTGCGGGGAAGGGGAGGATTAGTAGGTAGTGGGGGGGTAGGGAAGTCCGTGGGTAAAAGGGTGAAAGGTAAGGAAGTAGCGGGGGGGGGGGGGGGAAGGAGGGGATACCGAGAGGGCAGGGGCATGGGGAAGAACGGGTAATGGGGCAGCAAGGGAATCTGTGGGAGGCGTGGAAGGGGAGGAAGGTGGAGGAGGGTGAGGCGTCGGGGCAGGAAGGGGTGGGTTATATGTAAAGTCCAGAGGGGGTGGGATGGGTAGGGTAGGCGAAGAGGATGGGATAGGAGGGTGAGAAACGGCATAAGGGAAAGTAGTTTCGTGAAAGATGACGTCTCGACTAGTGAAAATGCGGTGATTGTCGAGATCGTAAAGGGTATAAGCCTTTTGTCCATGAGGATAACCGAGAAAAATGCAACGATGAGCCCGAGGGGAAAATTTGGTGGTGGGAGTGACAGAGGTGGCATATGCCAGACAACCAAAGACGTGGAAGTGGTCATAAGATGGGGTTTTCGAAAAGAGAACCTCAAATGGGGATTTATGATGGAGAAGACGGGTAGGGAGACGATTGATGAGATAAGTAGTGGTAAGAACACATTCCCCCCAAAACTTGATAGGAAGATGGGATTGAAAACGAAGGGCGCGAGCGGTTTCAAGAAGATGACGATGTTTTCTTTCAACAACGCCATTTTGTTGGGGGGTATAAACACAAGAAGTTTGTAAAAGCACCCCATGATCAGAGAAAAAACTACGAAGAGATAAAAATTCACCACCATTGTCAGTACGAATACATTGGATGGTAGTGCGGAATTGGGTAGTGACATAAGCAAAAAAATCCTTAATTAATTGTTGAGTGTCGGATTTATGTTTCATGAGGAAGACCCACGTAAAGCGAGAAAAATCATCCACAATGGTTAAGAAATAATGAGCACCAGAAAGAGAAGAGGATTGATGATTCGGGCCCCAAATATCACAATGAATTAAAGCAAAAGGGAAAGTGGATGAAATTGAACTCAAAAGAAAAGGTTGACGAGTTTGTTTTGCCAACGGACAAACATCACAAATATGACTAGAATCAAAAGTGCAATTAAGAGAGCTAGATGCTAAAGCTTGCAAACGAGTGGAGGAGGGGTGACCAAGACGCCTATGCCAGAGGGAGGAGAGGATGGTAATGATGTTACAGAGAGGTTAACGGGTGGGGAGAGAAGAGGTAAGGGCCACAAGGTAATACAGATCGCCACGTCACTTACCCACACCAATCATCGCCTTCGAAACCAAGTCCTGCAAAACACACCAAGAAGGAAAGAAGGTTATGGAACACGATAATCCATCTGTAAGTTTACCAACCGATAAAAGGTCCACTCGGAAATTAGGGACACATAAAACATCCTTCAAAGTAACTGATGAATTTAAAGGAAGACTGCCGGTAAAAGTAATGGGAGCGGAAGCACCACTAGGCAAAGAAACAGGCGGCAAATGTGAAGGAGAGCGATTAACCAAACATGAAGCGGAAGAAGTAATATGATCCGTAGCACCACTGTCAAGAATCCATTGACCATGACGAGAGGTGACAGGTAACAAACCTTGGGCAAAATCAGTAGTGAGCACGGCATTGGCCTGAGGAGGGGTGGTGGTGTCACGTAGAGCAGCTAGAACACGGGAGTGCTGCTCGGCAGAGAGGTCAGGCATGGCAAGCTGCAAGTCATGCAAAGTGGGCTGGGCCCCGTGCACTTGGTGGGTCGCTGGAGTAGAAGAGGAGGCGGGGGCCTGGGTGCCTTGCACGTGATGGGCCTGGGTGAAATTATGGGGCCGGGAAGTAGAAAACCGTGGCTGCTGGGGAGGACTGGAAGGTGCATGGCTGCGGGAAGAACTGGAAGCAGTGGCACGGCGCGGTGGTCGCCACGGTTGGCCATGGAGGGGATGGCCAACGGGATAGCCATGAAGTTTATGGCAGGTGTCTCGGGTATGATAATCAAAATTGCAGTAGGTGCAGTGGAGGGGAGGACGAGCAGAGGAGGGACGGGACGGGCCACGAACAGCCATGGGAACGGCAGAGAAAGCTGCCGAAAAAAAAATTAGGGCTAGGGTTATAAACCTGCTCTGTATACCATGTAGAAAAAGGTATGTAGGCTAAAAAATATATTTGTTATTGATACGTGAATGTGGAAAAATGGAAGAGAATGCAAATGGAAGAGAATGCTTATGGAAGAGAATGCAAATGGAAGAGAATGCTTATTTTTTCATTATTGTTTCTCTACAAGATTACAAGGATATATATACATGATACAAATGTGTAGGTAGGACAAGGTAGCCGTCCTAGTGTGTAGGTAGGATAAGGTAGGACGGCTGTAGAGGACAAGGTAGCTGTCCTAGTGTGTAGGTAGGACAAGGTAGGACGGCTTGACGGCTGTAGGACGGCTAGTGTGTAGGTAGGACAAGGTAGGACGGCTGTAGGACGGCTTGACGGCTGTAGGACGGCTTATTCTTCCAATAATAATATTATATACAATTACACAAGGACTCCAACCATATTCCTTATGTCACATCCCGGCCCGGGACGGATCACTTCCCGGGCCCGCTCCGCCACCGTAGCACGATATTGTCCGCTTTGGGCTTACCATTCCCTCACGGTTTTGTTTTTGGGAACTCACGAGCAACTTCCCAGTGGGTCACCCATCATGGGATTGCTCTAGCCCCCTTCACGCTTAACTTCAGAGTTCCTACGGAACCCGAAGCCAGTGAGCTCCCAAAAGGCCTCGTGCTAGGTAGGGATGGGAATATACATTTAAGGATCACTCCCCTGGGCGATGTGGGATGTCACAATCCACCCCCCTTAGGGGCCCGACGTCCTCGTCGGCACATACGCGACCAGGGTTAGGCTCTGATACCAAATTGTCACATCCCGGCCCGGGACGGATCACTTCCCGGGCCCGCTCCGCCACCGTAGCACGATATTGTCCGCTTTGGGCTTACCATTCCCTCACGGTTTTGTTTTTGGGAACTCACGAGCAACTTCCCAGTGGGTCACCCATCATGGGATTGCTCTAGCCCCCTTCACGCTTAACTTCAGAGTTCCTACGGAACCCGAAGCCAGTGAGCTCCCAAAAGGCCTCGTGCTAGGTAGGGATGGGAATATACATTTAAGGATCACTCCCCTGGGCGATGTGGGATGTCACAATAATTTGGTATCAGAGCCAAACTCACGGTCGTGGTGTGCCGACGAGGACGTCGGACTCCCTAAGGGGGGTGGATTGTAGTATCCCACATCGCCCGTGAGGGCGTGGTCTTTGGGCCTTATATATCCATGCCCAGAGCTTTAACTTCAGAGAGGCCTTTTGTGGACTACGGTCCACAAGAACAAAATCGTGCGGTAGCTGGGTGGCTGCGACATAGTCCAGGCCCAGAATGCCAAAGCGAACAATATCCGAGAGGTTGGAGTCTGGGATGTGACACCTTATTTGTCTAACACATATGGAGAACAAAATATTTGAAATGATCAGGTTGAGTAGTACATTTAACTCAATTTATAGGTTATCTCGTAGTAGTTATTTTTATCTAATGATCAAACTACTAGTATCTTGCTTCATTTGCTAGTTTATGATCACCTAAGTACAAAAGAATCCAGCTTAAAATGTATTAAAAAAAAAGAGTTGGATCCACCGTCCAATGGAATTCAGATTATTTTCAAATCTCGCAGTCCGAAACTGATGAACTGAAAAATCTGGATCATTCAAAAGAATGAGAAAAAGAACTAGACTCTTAGTTTGTGTGAGGTGGGCCAAATAAATAGGTTAATACGTGTTGTAAAATTTAAAATGAATGAGTTAGATTTTCGATTCATCGACTCTAGACCGCAAGATTCAAAGAGAATCTCTGTCTATTGCATTTGTAAATGCAGATAGAGAGAAGAGACTAGAAATTAAATAATAAAATACAAATTCAACTGAAAAGAAAAAGAAAACAAGCAAAAGGAGGAAAAAGAAAGGAAGGCATATTGTTTGCCCTCCTGTTTGGCTATCATTCCTGTACTCTCCTATTTTATGCGATCACGGTTAAGGCACGTCAATATTTTATATTAATTTTTTATAAAGATAATAAGAAAAAAAAATAATATAAATATAAAATATTAACATAACATAACCATAACCGCGTAAATAAAAAGAAATGAAAATAACACTCAATCTGCCCTCCAATAGAAAGGAAAGTGTAAGGCATAGAAGCGCTGACCAATCAGCGACGGAGTTTATAGTACTTTGATTTTGTTTAGGTTGGTTCCCTCTGAATTTGAGCCGTTAACAACTCCAATATTATATCCAACGACCATTTGCCTTCGCCATCTTCTTCCTTTCTCATAGCCCAATTCATCTCCCAGATTCCCAAACCCTAACCCTAATTCCCCCATTGCTCCTCTACAATTCTGGAGTTCCGGATTCATAAATTCATGTATTGTACTGGGTAAGCGCTCGAATTGATTGTAATTTTCGATTGTATATATATGTGTGTACGTAAAGTTTGAGGCTTGGGATGTTGTATAGCAGTTCGACATTGGTTTATGCTCTTATATCTGTTGGGTTTATGAGTAAATATGCTAGCTGATTAATTGGTCAATGTTATTTTTGAGTTTGGAAACAATGGAAAGTGATTGTATGCTGGTGTTATCTGCAGAATTTGATGAGGTAGCTGAAATTCTCGAATTTTCTCATCGGCTGGTTTTATTATTACAATGTGCTGATTGAGGGGAGAGCAAATTTTGATTCGAATGGCGGAATGTCTGGCTTCACCTTTATGTATGAAGCTGCAGATGCAGAGAACTTATGTCGCAGAGAAAGGCTTTGTACACTGGAGTTCACGTCTGAAGAAAGCGCAAAGGTATACTCGTGGTGTTTAATTGTTTCTTACATTTATGCTTGTAGTATTGTAATTTGCATTATGTTGTTTGGAGAATAGGGGTTAGTGCACCAAGCAAGAACAAATTGTGAATTGTGGGTTAACAATGGTCTTTATTGAATGATAGTCACATATTACTTCGTACACGTTTATGGTGGGACAGTAATGTCTTTCTAGTGACTCCATGCTACAGTTTAGGTTGGAATGGGATTCTCTCTACTTATTTTCTCCCTCTGCATCTAGTTGTTGAGTAAGATTTGCCCTGCAGCTATTTTGGGCTTATGTGACAGTTAATGATTTCTAATGTCTCCCAGAAAAGTATAGAAATTGTGTTGACGTCAATATTGGCTTAACACTTCGGGGGTTATGTTTCATATTATGATTCTCACCCCTCTACTATATTTGTTGCAGTAGGAAGTATTCGTATGGAAGCTGCAAGACAGTTCCTTTTCCAACCTGGAGAATGTGTGAGTTCACAGCTCCTGGCATTTCAAATGTGAAAGTTGGTCCTTTTTCTGAGGCTTCCTCGAAATGTGCTTGCTTGGGGTCTTTGGTAGGCTCTGATGGTGCAAAAGCCTCTGATTGGGTACCTATTGCTGATCAAGTGCTTCTGACAGCCAGTGTATTTCTCACATATATGGCTGGAGTAATTCCTGGTCGTAGCTCTAGTCCAACTTTTCAAAAGGACATTTCCAAAGACAATGTGGGCTGTGAAACCTCAACCGCTTCTGGTAGGTAAGGGTAAGCATGTCCAAGTTTTGGAGGTTGAAGTCTTCGTCCATTTAAAATATTTCTTGTTAAATTAACCCTGGAAGTTACCTTCCAACCTTATTCTCAAGGGGAGGAAGTGCTATCAAGTACAAAATATATTGGCATTCAATTATGTTTCTTCAAAATGAATGACAAGTTTCTTGTCTAAAACTGAAGCTGCAATGCTTATGGTTTTTTTTATTTGGCTTATTTTAGTTAGCTGAGGTGTATTTTCTCTAATTGCAGTGGGAGAAAGAATGATGATCCAGAAAATTCAGGTTATGCCTTGGATTCAGTGAAAAGGAAACTTTCAGATTCACTCCAAGCTTTTGAACTTGGGGGTAATTTGGGAGACAGGGTCCTTCAACGTGAAGGATACACTGCAAAGCGACCTTTAAGTTTGAATGCTGTTGCTGATGGTCCAAGATTAAGATTGCTCTGGGCCTCATTTCTGCGAATTGAGGAAGAGGTCAGTGCTATCTCTTTTCTCCTGCTTTGCTATACTTTGTTTTTCCCCTTTCTTTTTTAAGACAAATATGGCATCTCGTTTAATTGAATAAACACAGTTGCGGTTTTGAAAGTGCTATGGGATAAAGTTTTCTTCTTTTCCATTTTCTCAGAGGTTATTCAATTAAATTCATTTATATTTTTGATATATTTTCTTTGCATTTGATTAACTGAGTCAAACAGATACATCTATGAGAACTTTCCTTGCACTACTAAAAACATGCTTTTATGAAGGAGCTACTTGGTACATTCGGCATTGAATGCTGTAATAAAACAGATTATAATTATATAGTTCTTTGAACTGCCTGAATTATTTTTCAGTCTTCTGATAATATTTCTCTAAAACTTGTTTTATAGGTGATTAATATCTCAAATTCTGGAATTTCTAAATTGGATGAGTGCTTGACGGATTTTTCTGATGTTATACGAAAGTCGTGTCAGCCTGTCTGCATGAGCTGGTTAGAAACAGAACTTCATCTTTTAAACAGCAAGCCTACCAAGGTATGTTGGATGGAAAATCTTGCCCTCTATGTTTTTTCCGCAACTTACACATTTAGATAAATTCTCTTATTCTGCTATGCATTCTGGCCAGGCACTTGTCACGCTGATGGATGGAAAGTTAGATGGAGACAATACTGTTTTACAGAACATCAGGAACTCAGGCAAGGAAGACCTTTATGCAGAACTAATGTGCTTTCTCAGTTTCGGTTCTCTCAGGTAAATTCAATTATGATCGTCTTTTATCTTGGCTGTGTTTCACGAGAACTGGTCTACTAATCTTCTGGTTTCTGCCATGTTTGAATTCTCTTGTTGGTGTTTCAGATTTCTTCTGCAAACTTAGATTCTCTACCTATGCAAAATCATATCTTTTATTGTCAATGGAAACAAGCACTTGAAGCTTACTACTCTTAGCATAATTGGATATGAAAGTTTTGAATTTCTTAATACATAGGTCATAAATTCATAATATGGCTCCAAGAAACACATTGCTGTAAAGCAATTGCCATATAATTGATAGGCTCACTGAGGAATAGAAACTAGGTAGTATTAGTAACGAGAAATAGGTCGATTAGGCTCTATTGTATGACTTCGACAGGTGTGTTTAATGTGTGGTTAACTATAATACTTTATTTAATTTCATCATGTACTCCAGTTACCAAGATGGTACTTATTATTGGTGATGAAGAGTTAAAATCTGTGGCATGTTTGTGTTACATTTCATGTTGTAATCATAGTAAGTACATTTGTGTTACGTAATTACATTCTGGATTAGCATCATGGCTTTCTCATGCATTGCATTCTATATTAATCTGCTAATTTTCATCTTATTGAGACACTTATTGTACCTTTATTGGTTTCATCAGGGAGGGATGCTGTTATGACGGTAGTCTGTTTAAGAAACACGGAGTTTCCATACTGGAAGATTTGGTGATAAGTTTAGCAGATGGGATAGTAAGCATATATTTGGAGCTTATTTCTGTTGACAGCAATTTCTCAGATGAAATGGATAACCTGCCTTTGACATTGTGTACATTGTCAACACGAGCACTTCAAAGATTACGAAATGAGGTACAGTTTGACAATTTCATCTTCAGCTTACTAGTATAAATATGACAATTGATTCTTAAGCATATTATTTTTAATCCTCTCTCTCACTTCCACGCCCACATACTAATGTTTGATGCAGAGATGGACTGGATCGCTTTATCATCAATCAAGCTGTTTGCTTGCTTATTATCTTGAATGCTGCACCACTGAGTTTTTATGAAAGGCCTCATAGTTTTATTCTTAGTTTCTTGCATCAATTTTTCTGGAACTTTATTTTAAATGTTATCTGGTCACAAATTAGGAAACTGTTGATTGGGCATGCTATACTTCCTTTAGTGGCTGCCTATGTATTCCGGAGGTGGTTGTACGTAGAGAGCTTGTGGGTTTTACGTACTGTATTATAGTTCAGTTTGATGTTAGACATTTAGAAACAAAATCCCAATTTTTCACCAAGACATGCCATTTTTACCAGGTAGCTTTGTACCAATGGTTGTATCAAAATTTGGAGGCAGTTGCATCAATGTATGAGGATCGATTTGATTTATGGACATTTCAGAGCCGGCTCATCGAGGAATCAAACAATAGCTGGACTGAGAATTATAATTGGTGGAAGTGGCTTACCGGGAAAAAATCTGACACCACATCATCATTACATCAGGTTGTGATAAGTCAATTCTCTATGCCTGTAAAGCGAACAAAAGAATTAAGGGCCCTTACGGGGTGGTACGCTCTTTCCCTTTGCCTCACATTATTATTATTTTCTTTCCATCTTCTGCATTCCAAATATCTTTGGCCATCACCCTATTGCCGGATTTAATCTTGACATAATCGAATATGATTTGCCTTCTCATCCATTGTTATTGTCTTGTCTATTGCAGGAGGTATTACTTCAGCCTATTCCTTGAGTTATATGACATCAGTTTGCCTTTGATTAGAGCAATTGTTGACAGCGTCAGCAAGGGTCTCTCCTTTTTTCTAAAATGCTTGATTGGAAGGTCATTAGGACTTATCTACACCGGAATTAGACAGTCTCTACGATGGAAGTGATACACCGGTACTCCCTTCCATTGTACATTGCAATTTACCTTTTTGTTAGGGAAGAGTTGGTTAGAAGAAACTGAAGAATGTAATTCGAATCTGTCTGGGGCCATTTGAGGCACTCCTTAAACCACATTTGTTAACAATCTGAGAATTACAATGAATTTAAATTTTGGCAAAAGTTTTGGTCTCTCTTTCAATCCATCTTTCTAGTATCGAATAGCCAAGTGACTGTCATACTGAAGAATTACTCGATCGGGTTTGTCTTGCCATATTCCATATGTCGCAAACTTTTATGTCTAACCTGGATTTTGAAATTGTGATTATATCCCTTAATGTTGATGAAGAAAATAGTTGGAAAATGACTGGCACATAATGATTTTACTTTTCAGAAGATCACAAAAGCAAAAGTTTAAATCCTCGGAAGATAATCTTTGTGATGGGAACACGGATAGTATATCACGTGTTTTTATATAAATGGTGAAAATTTTTAATTTTTAAATTATTAACCTTTTAATATATATATCCCACCATTTATATAAGCACACGTAATGTACCCTCTCACGTGACGGTCAAATTGAAAAATCTCTTCTACCATCTTTACATCCTAATCCTTTTTTTCTTGTTAGAAACTTCTTATTAGACACTAAACAATTCGTGGTGTCCACTCCTTTATATAAAGCAGGTTTCCCACTTTTAGCCTTTACCTAATTACGAAGAGGAAACATTATTGAGAAAATTGGTTACTTAATGGAAAAACCACGCTTACTCTGCACTATAATGCACTTTGCATCTACAAAATCATATGCATAAATGGAACAACTCAATCACTCAAAGCCATGCAATTGTTGGCTTTGAGTTATGCTACTGTCAATTGCATTGGGATGTGTGACGGTATTTCTTTGTTTGACGTGTGTGAGCCCCATTGAGAGACCGCCACGTACTAATGGGCCACTGGGGCCGCATTTTCCTTGTTGGATTGAGGTCTAGAAAGGGACTTGGATTGTCTACTTTTCTCATCTCATACTATTTTCATTTTTTTTTATTTCTATGATTATAATTAAGTCACGTTAACATTTTATATTTTTATTATTTTTTATCTTATTATTTTTATAAAAAAATTAATATAAAATATTAACGTGATTTAACCATGATCACAAAATATAAAGAAGAATGAGATGGATATGAAATGGAAAGGACAGACAATCCAGATCCTAAATCTTTTGCAAAAACATACATAATCTGGCCACATTCATTGAGAAGGCCTGGTGGACAAGATGGGCACAGAAAAATGGAATAACACAACAAGGGAGGAGAAAAAGGCATGATTAAAAACAAAAAAGAATAAGGGGGTTGAGGAAGCGTCACTATCCAAGCAAAACAGTAAGAATATTTTATTTTATACTATATTTATACTAAGGAAGTAAAGTATTGAGCTAACCCGTACAAAGTTGTCATTTATAATAGTCGAATCTAAAAATTCATAATTTGATGGTAACGAATATCATTACTGAGCAGCGAACAATATGGAATTTAAAAAACCTAATTGATTTATTTAATTATTTCTGTTTATATTTTATGGTAACAAACAAATGAATCTCTCTTAATCATAGAATAGAGTAATCACCTTTTCTTAGCAAAGATTGGACAATTATGAAGAAAACGTTGGTTGCCTGGTGAAAAAAAAAAAACTTACATACCTATTTGACGTTGTTTATGAATCTTGATGTGCAAGTGATCTAATCAAACAAGAAGAGGAAAAATAAGAGAAATATATTTAGAGTTGTGCTATCGATATGTTGACAATCTCTGATCATTGATTAATGCCAAAAATTTCACTTTAGAGTTTGTAAGCGACCTAGCTTTAACAAACATGAGCATGAAGGAATTCTGAAAATTAAATCGTAGCAACGTAAAGAGAGGAGCAAGATTATCACTCTCCCAATTTTAATTTTTTTTTTTTTTAAATCTATCATCTTTTTAAATAAATAAGGTAAATATTACCACCGACAAAGACAAAATAAGTATATTATACTGAGATATTGAAGTTAATTATTTGCATGGAGACATGCATTGCAATGAGGACAGCCTGAGCCTAAGCGGCCACCCTAATACCCTATATCATATTTTCCTTCTTCTCTTTGCTTCCATATTTGACCAGTCTTTCTTTTGCTTTGTAAAAGTTGAGGGGGACAGGAAGCTATCTCATTCCAGTGCTGGGCAACTTACAAAGTAGGACTTATGTAAAAGAGACCATCGACAGCGAGACTCTTACACAGGCCTTGTGACATCCCACATCGTCCAGGGAAGTGATCCTTATATGTATATTCTCATCCCTACCTAGCACGAGGCCTTTTGGGAGCTCACTGGCTTTGGGTTCCATGGGAACTCCGAAGTTAAGCGAGTAGGGCACGAGAGCACTCCCATGATGGGTGACCCATTGGGAAGTTCTCGTGTGAGTTCCCAGGAACAAAACCGTGAGAGCGTGGTCGGGGCCCAAAGCGGACAATATCGTGCTACGGTGGAGTCGGGCCTGGGAAGTGGTCCCGCCCGGGCCAGGATGTGACAATTTGGTATCAGAGCCTAACACTACCCGTGGTGTGCCGACGAGGACGTCGGGCCCCTAAGGGAGGTGGATTGTGACATCCCACATCGCTTAGGGGAGTGATCCTTATATGTATATTCTCATCCCTACCTAGCACGAGGCCTTTTGAGAGCTCACTGGCTTTGGGTTCCATGGAAACTCTGAAGTTAAACGAGTAGTGCACGAGAGCACTCCCATGATGGGTGACCCACTGGGAAGTTCTCGTGTGAGTTCCCAGAAACAAAACCATGAGGGTGTGGTCGGGACCCAAAGCGAACAATATCGTGCTACGGTGAAGTCGGACCCGGGAAGTGATCCCGTCTGGGCCAGGATGTGACAGGCCTTGATCTGCATATAAAAATCCTATGCAGATTTGACTATAATTGTTTGACTGCGATGATCTAAAAGTTAAAGTATCATACTCCCTATATATAAGGATTGCAGGAAATTGAATCAAAAGGATACAATAAGATAAGCCGCTGAGCACAGAAAATTACAAAGTAGCAATCGGCGAGTGGCACATATAATGTATTTATTTATACAATTAAAGGTGAGAAAAAAGGGGTAGCCCCATACCTAGAATTATGTGTGGGAACTGTTTCGGACGTATAAAGTGTAAATAAATAGCCTCTGCCTTCAAAGATGAATTGACCAAACACTGTTTGGTTACTGAGTAGCAAGATTAATGTTCATATGTATATAAAAGAAAGCTAAAGCGTTAATTAGCTACAAGATATGGCGCTAAGCTAACCACTCGTCTGATCCTATTACATAACATTTCTCATAATCTGAACGATCATTTTTAAGGTTATGATTAATAGAGCATCTCAACCAAAATTCACAAGAACCAAAGGCCCTTTGGTTAACCTAATAAATAGACGATCAATCACAATATTGTCGGAAAACAATGAAATCTTCATAATAACAATTAGAGAACTAAGCAATATTCCGATTTGAGTGTGTTTTTAAAAGGATGATCTATGAATTATGACCTAAAAAATGAAGAGTTCAAATCATGAAATTACTGTGTGGAGTAAACCAAATAAGAATTAATACCGTATTAAATTACTAATTAGTTAGCATTTGAAGATTCACCAAAAAGTGGCACTCATCAAATTCTTTGGGATAAGCAACTCCTAGACTTTCAATGGGTTCAAGGTTCGTGCTAAGCTTCTACGATCTAAGCTCCAAAATGCAGCCTTAGGGTTTGAAAAAATTATCACAAAATGCTATTAAAGTTTCTCACCATTAATGTTTTCAATTTCCACTCTTTTTTCTTTATTAAAAGAGAAAAATTCTCTTCGACGCCGTCTTCTACTTTTCTTGATTTGCAATGTTTGAAATTGTATTAGTGATTGACTCAGTTGAATTATTGGAAATCTGAGCCAAACTGTGTACATCAATTATTCACGTTGGTTCATTGCATTGCATATATGTTCGTTGCTTGATCATGTATACTAAACACACTCAACCATTTAACATGTCAACTTCGATTCAATCAGTCTAGTGGCCCAAACTCAAGAAACAAAATACTGATCAAAAGCCATGCATGCATAGTGGTAGGGCTTCTGTTTTGAAATTAAACATGACCCACATTGCTAATCAGTTGGCCAAATAGATGACCTTAATTACAACTGGTTGTATACATATATAGAGACAGAGAGTCTTTATCCATAGGATTTCCATTTTTTTTCAAATGGGGACTAATTATAGAGTTCATTCTATATCGAACTTTAAAAATTCGAATCATCTATTTCTTTAGTCTTCATTCATAGTTTGTTTTTGTAAAAATTTAACTCAATCCGAAAGTATTTATCCATTTGATTGTCATGATGAAATTCCAGCCTTAGAACACAGTGTTTGTCAATTTCTTTGAACATAATTAGATGCCTTAAACATTTTTGTTTTGACTAATATTTTGCAAAGATGATTATGAAGTGCAACTTGAAAAATAGAAGGTTCGAATCATTGAAGTTCGATGTGAAGTGAGCTCCACAACTAGTCCTTATTTGTACCAAAAAATGAAATGTCCTTCGGATAAGGGGCATATATATATTGGGCTACAGCTAATTATATAACGTTATAAGAAGTTAGATAGATGCTGTGTGTGCTCCTGATTATAAACCCTAATTCCCTATAGAATGGTGACGTTAAGGAGGGCTTATAAGTGTTACAAGATCGCCTTCATTCCTTACATATTTGTGGCAAGTGATTCATTACGTGTTACGTGAAGATTGAGAAAGAAACAATGGGAACATGTATCATGTTTCAGACAAGTTTGGCACCAATTATCCATTGAATAATTGGACATTAATTTGTCCACACTGCATCTGCATGTCAGTTCGTAGTAATATATGTAAGTGGGAAAAGAATTGTGATCATATAGGAAGCAATTAAAATATGCTTTCTAAAGTGATTCCTTACGCTAAAAGGTGGTTTATCTTGAACATTCGCTTCCCACCTAAGAATTGGAATTTAATTATTTGACTATTAAGCAGCGGCGAGGAAATAAAGGAGGGAAATAAAGTATCAGGTACATAAAGTTTGTGCAAGTATTGAAATCATGCAGACTATACAGATAATATTCTAATTGCTTTAGGCCTTAGGATGTCATTTCTTT